CAAAAAAAAAAAAGCATCTCATGTCCCTCTTTATCTCTTTGCATATCTTTCTTACTAAGAACAATAGGAGGAATGATACTGCCTCTCAAAGTCCTTTGCAGAGTGAAGTCAAGTAAATTCTCTGCTCCTCTGAAAGTGGCTTAAAGTAGGAAATCAGAGAGACATCAGGGAATTCTGAAGCACAACCAGAAGTAGCTAAGAGTAAAAAAATCTAGGTGCTAGTCTGGCGTAGACTGTTACAGAATACAACCTGGTTAGAGAACATCTGTTGTTGGATGACTGCTTATCTTATATATTTTTTATTTTTTAAACCATTAAATCCTCGCACACAAGATTATCACTGAGCAACACATGTTAGGTTACTGGCAAACTGAGGGACTATTCTTTCTTTAAACCCAAGGCTGTTCTGAAAGAAATGCCTTCATCAGTGAAGGCTCATTTCGCTTAGCATCTTCGCTTAAAAAACCAGCGCCACCTCTGAAATGCTATGCCCACGAAGACCTCCGGCAGCGGCTGCCAAGAGCCTGTGTTTGGCTGGAACCCGATGACCGGTGGGGTTTTTCAGGGGAAACAGAAGGGAATGCAGTCGGTGTGAGTGAGAGCCAGGGGCAGGAAAATGATAGCAATAATACTGGTTAAAAAATGTAGTAATTAAAAAGGTAAAATCAGGTGATGAAAAAAATTTTAAAAAAATAGGCTCTTAATGAAATGGTGAAAAAAGAATTTAAAAAAATATTCGGAAGTGAAGGTGCTTCAGATCTTCTACTCTTCTTTTTGGCACACTTTAGTCCTTCCAGGCATTCAGGGGAGTGTTGAACTTCCCTGCGATACACTGTCCCTCCGTGCCGTAAACCGCAGACCTGATTTTAAGCAGGTTGTATTTGTTTACCAGACTGCCTTTATTTATGATCACAGAAGAGACAGTTCGTGGCTCTGCCTCTGGGTAGCAGTGTATCTGGATTGACCTCCGAGGCTATAAGTCCTCTCTATCAGTAGGGGTTTTTTTGCCCACGAAGACCTCCGGCAGCGGCTGCCAAGAGCCTGTGTTTGGCTGGAACCCGATGACCGGTGGGGTTTTTCAGGGGAAACAGAAGGGAATGCAGGCGGTGTGAGTGAGAGCCAGGGGCAGGAAGCTCGAGGCCCATTCAGGGAACTCCCAGGGTTGATGGAGCTTGGCCAGGAGGCTCTGGTTCATTATAGGTATATTTTGATTCTTTCAAAAACATTATCCTTTCATGTCATCACCCATTTAAATGATGTATGTATGTGTGTATGTTTAGTTGATGCACATATACATACACCTATATGGGTGAAACAACTTTGTGTGGACAGGTGGCAGGGTGTCTGAGAGGAAGCGGTCTTGGCAAGAGGAAGGCCAGGGGTGAGGCCTTGGACCACACATGTGGGCAGAAGACAGTGGGAGCCCGGGGGGCCCTGGGGACTCTGGAGGCGAAGGTGTACAGAGAAGAGGATGAGACTCTGCCTTCTGGAGTGGGACTGCTTCACTCTTGTGACTTCTGCCCACCCCTCACTGCGAGCCCATCCACCTTCCTGCTGCCCCTGTGGTAGATGGCCTGTCATGGTTGCTATGGGATGCCAGCTGCCTAGCCAAACACCCGACATAGTAGGTGCTCAATAAATACCTGTTGAATGCGTGAATGAAGGAAGTGGTGCAAAGCAAAGCTTCCAAATGAACGTGAAG